AGTGCCGCTGCCCCTGCGCCAATGCTCCCTCTGCGTCCAAGCGCTGCCCCCTAACATCCACTGCTCCCTTTGCGGTTCCAAGCTGCTGCCCTGTACCACTAGTCCTCTGCATCAGCCGCTTGCCCCCTGCGCCACTGTCCCTCTGCGTCAAGCCGCTGCCCCTGCGCCCACTGTCCTCTGCGTCAAAGCCGCTGCCCCTGGCCCACTGTCCTCTGCGTCCAAGCCGGCTGCCCCGCTCCCCTGCTCCTCTGCGTCCAAGCGCTGCACCCTGCCCCACTGCTCCTCTGCGTCCAAAGCCGTGCCTTTGTGCCACTGCTCCTACTGCGGTAGCCGCTCCCACCTGCGCCCACTGCTCCTTCTGCGTCATGCATGCCCCTGCGCCACTGCCTCTTGCATCCATGTGTCTGCCCCCTGCCCACACTGTGCCCACATGTCCCTTCTGCATCCATGCGCTGCCCTACACCACTGCTCCCTCTGCGTCAATGCCTGCCCTGCCCACTGCTCCTCTTGCGGTCCATGCGCTGCCCCACCCACTGCTCCCTCTGCGTCCAGCCGCTTGCCCCTACATCCACTGCTCCCTTGGTCCAGCTGTGCCCGTACCCACTGTCCCTCTGCTCAAGCCCGCTGCCCTGCGCCACTGCTCCCTGGCCAAGCGCTGACCCTGGTGCCACCGCTCCCTGTGTCCAAGCCGCTGCCCCCTACACCCACTGCTCCCTCTGCGTCCAAGCCGCTGCCCCCTGCACCCACTGCTCCCTCTGCGTCCAAGCTGCTGCCCCCTACATCCACTGCTCCCTTTGGGTCCAAGCTGCTGCCCCGTGCCCACTGCTCCCTCTGCGTCCATGCTGCTGCCCCCTGCACCCACACTGTGCCCACACTGCTCCCTCTGCGTCCATGCCGCTGTCCCCTGCACCCACACTGTGTCCACACCGCTCCCTTTGCACCCACGCAGTCGCCTCCTTGCGCCCACATAGCTCCTTCCAGCACCCACACCCTCTCCCACATCGCCCTCTCTCGGGCTTCTTGTGATCATTCCAGTTTCACCACGGCTCTGACCAGATTGCAAATTAGTCAGAGGAGGAAAGGTGTGGCAGGGTGGCCTCACAGCCCAGTGGGCTCTCTGCAGCACCCGGAGGGCAATTCCTCCCTCCTCCCAGTCAGCAAGTGCAAGTGGCCCCCAAGTAGCCCAAAGGGCCTGTGGCGACCATCCTGGCTGGTTGGGCCCGAGCTCAGAGAGGGCCAGTGACCACTCCCTAACACACAGCAAGTCGGGTCAGGGCTGGGAGGAGGCCCGCCACTCCACTCCCTTGCTGTGTGACCCTGGGTAAGCTCTTCCTCTCTCTGAGCCCCAGCTTCCTCCCCAGTAAAATGGGGCTAGCACCCCCATCTCACTGGCCCGGAGCGAAGGAGAAGCGGGAGACAGAGGCTCGGCTCCGTGCTGGGCAGGAGTAAGGGCACAGTAAACAGCAGCTACGTTCCAGTAGCGCTGATTTTCCCAGTCAAGTGATCCTGGAGCCAACGCGAACAGGGACCTGCTGCCCACAGCCCCCACACATGAGGGCACAGCAGGCTCAGGAGTGAACTGGGGCTAGGGTCCCCACCCCAGCCTAGAGAGGGGCGGAGAAGCCTGGGTCTAAGGCAGGACACCCCACCTGCCATCGCCTAGCCCCTGCGCAGAGGGGCTCTCACCCTGCCCAGTGGCCCCACACCTGGCCAGAGCCCTGCCACCCACCACAGGTTCCACTCACGTATGACCAGCTGCCTCCATGCCCGGCGGCAGGGATGTCCTGTCCTTGCTTTTGGTGGGTGATGAGAGGGTCCTTCCTAGGATGATGACTCCACTGTTGTCTATGCCGGGGGCAGAGGGGCCAGCGCAGCATGTGGCCCAGATGGGTAGGATGTGGGTGGAAGGCCTAGGATGGGCTTGACCTGGGTCTGGGGTGGCGGTCACCTTTTGTCCCCTCCCAGGACAGACACTCTGGGCCCTGAGGAAGCCTCCGGCTCCTGCTTTGCATGTCCCTCCCTAGGAAAACACCTGCCTGCCCAGTGACATGGCCTGGGGAGTGGCTTGGCTCTGGGGCCAGCAGGCCTCGGAGAGGCTAGGATGGGGATGGGACCAGCCTGTTCCCTTCTAAACGGGGCTGGCAGCAAATCTCTAGCCTGCTTGGGGTCTTTAAGAAGGTGCCCCAAAGCGAACATCTTGAGGAAGCAGAGGCAGCTCCATAGGACTATGGAGGGAGAGATTTTTGGCTTAGTCAAAGGAGTAACTTTCTAATAGTTTAAATGGGTGAAGGACAGAATAGACAGGCTTGGGAGGCAGCAGGCTTCTGTCTCAGAAGCTCACACAGCCTTGGTCCATTTGGCCTCCACTTCCTTTCTGGCCATGAACTTTCGGCCCACATGGGGACTCATGGCCTGACAGCAGGCACTGCTGCCCTACAAGCCTGCGTGTGCACGTGTGTACATGTGTGCACGCATGTGGCTCACTCAGGACAGCGTCAGGGCCCGTCCATCCCACTCAGCCTGCAGCAGACGCTGGATGCAGCCTCAGAACCCTACTCAACACAGAATCCAGGAAGCTACCATCAACCAGCTGGCACTGGCCGACGAGATAAAACCACCGGCCAGCCTTTCACTACTGCCCAAAGTAAGGAAGGACTTCATGCTGCCCTCACTCTCTGAATCTGCCAATAAGGAGGGCCACACATCATCCCCTTCCCCATCCCCAAGCACAACCATGACAGATGTCTGGGTGGTGGACAGGGGCTGGTTCTCAGCTTTTTAAAGCTCAGACGGTGGAGGGAGGTTGACACCAGGCCAGCTCCTACCATACCTCAAAGGCACAGGCTGGCCTGCCCGGGAATACCCGTGGCCAGGGCCCAGGTTCCAGCCCACACACCCTGCCTGGAACCGGCCCTCAAATCGCTGCTGGAAGATGAGCCAGGCGGTGTGAGACCCCTGCCCTTGGTCACACAGACCTGGGTACAGACCTGTTCCTCACTGGCCCCTTGACTGCCATGACGGAGACGTTCCCTAACTGGAGGGGATCCGATACTCTTTTCATGTGACTTTGGCCCAGAACACAAGGTCTGCCCCCGCCTGCGCCTGCCTGAAACCTGCTCCCCCGGTGCATAGTGCTGCTGACATGAGCACCCACAGCCCCGCTGCCAGCATACATGGCCCCACTGTCAACACACGAAGTCCAGCTGTCAGAAATGTCGTGGATCACCTGGATGGACAAACTCGTGTGCACCAGCAAGCCCCAGCACCAGGCTACCTCCTCTGCAGAGCCTTGCCTGATTGCTGAGCTCCTGTTGGATCTGGGAGATGCCTCTGTAGTCTTCACGCCGGGCTATACAAGCAGCTGCTGTATGAGCAGTGGAGCAGCGTCATATACTTGCATCAAACCCCCACAGCAGAGAGGGCTTCTGTGGGGCCAGGGTCTTACTTCCCCTATAGGGCAGCCAGGGGCGAGGCATTGTCTCCCCACACAGACCTGAGCTGCCTCCCTCTGCTCACACACCAGGTCCCATACCAGACCGGGGTGCAGATAGCTGAGACCCAGGCCTGGCGCTGATGAGTGGACAGTCCCGATGGCACAGCTGACTGTGGCCAGGGAGCTTGGCGTTTCCATCTCTGGGCCGCAGCAGCTTTCCCCGGTGGTGGCTGGTGGGGGTGAACATTGGCAAGGCTGATCCCAAAGGCCTCGGCCTGGAGTGGCTGTGCTTCACGGGGTCCTACTGGGCTTGGGGCACGTGGCTGAGGGCCTGGTGCTCGTCTGTTGCTGAAGCTGCCAGAACGTGTTGCTGCCACCACCACCGAGAAGCACATTTCACTGGTCCTGGGTTAAAAACGTCCCCATGAGTGACGTGAGTTTTCAGACAGTCAGATCCCTTCGGTCACTCTGACTCGGGGGCGAGGGTGGTTCTCCTCGGCTTTGCTTCTTGCCCGGAGGAGACTCGCCTGCACTGGATGTGGCAGAGGCAGCCCGGCGGGGCTGAAGACTGTCTTACACTGGCGACAGGAATTTGTTGCTTTGTACCAAGTTCAGATGCATCTAGAAGCTTCTGTCCTGAGCTCCCAATAAAGATGACGTAACTGAACACAGCTGCTGAGCACCATGCCCTCCTCGGCCCGGCTGCTCCTGCCAGCTGTGAGTGCCCCAGGTGAATGCAGAGTGTCCCTGTCACTCATGACACAGGCCCACTGCCCTCCAAAGTCTCCTGGCCAGTGGCAGGTTGGTGACAGCCTGGTTCCCATCTAGTTTTCAGCCAAATGAATGCCGGGCCTGGATGGACGGACCCAGTGGTTGGCCGAGCCTAGCGCTGTCCTCACATGACCAGAGTGGCCGAGGCATCAGGACTTGAATGCCAGATGCCACGTCTACTGGCTTCCTGGACTCCTCAGGCACACAAGGGACTAGGGTGTGACTGAAGGTCTCAGCCCTCCCTGATCGTGGAGAGGGGCATGCATGGCTCCCTCTCAGGCAGAACTCTGACTGTGACGCTGCAGCTCCCTGTCCCACTGTGGGCTGGGGCCTCCGTGTCCTTACCTGTGACATGGGAAGATCTCACCTGTCCACTGGGCAGGTGCCTCTGCCCTGGTGCAGGTTTCCCTCTCTGAGGGGGTTCCTGTCCCTGCTGGGGTCATACAAGGGTGGCCAGGCGTGACTGCGTCCTTACTGCCCCCGCACCCCTCGCTGGCATTCCTGCCGCCGCCTCAGTGTGGACGACCCACTTGCCCCTCCGGCGTCAGTATCATCTGCAAATTGCCTTGTTTTTCATCTTTGGCAGGGCTGAAAATTTGATCATGAAAGAGAATTTTCTTTTTTCTTTTTTAATTAGTACTTGGTAATATCACCAAGCTGCGAGTTTATGGCTTTGTAGATCTTGTGTTTTTGACACTAATTACTCACAAAGGCTTTTCGAGATGCATTTCAACTCTGTGACTGCCATGCCAGTAATTAAGCAACAGATTCCATGTTGCACACGTGCCTTGCCTACCTGTGCCCCCGGCTTCCATGTGGCCTCGCCCCCGAGGCCCGAGGCAGCTTCCGAGGTGGACTCGCAGTCGGTATTGCAGCCTCAGCCGTGGCTGTGCTCTCCACGTGGGATCCTGCTCCAGACTCCTGGGTGTGGGGAAAGATCCTGAGTCCACATTGCACCAAGCTCCCTTCCCACGTTCCTCCCTGTCACCTCCCACCCCAGGCATGTTCTTCTTCCAGCTGAGTGCCTGTAGCCACTGGGAAGGGGCTGAACAGGACGTGCCTCTGCACCTCTGCAGGCTCCGTGTGAAACTTCCGTCCGGGCACTTATCCGATAGCCTTGCGTCTCCCTGCACAGGGACTTGGAGACTTGGGGCACTGCTGGGCTGTGTCCTGGAGGGCAGGGTTGGGTGGACACGAGTGAGGGCCCTGTCCATGTCTGCCTGCCCTGTTGGTGCGCATGCCAACTTGGGGCTTGAGGGCTGTGTGGGCTCAGGAGCTGGCTGCGGTGAGTTTGAGGACAAGGAACAGTGCCCGTTGACTGTCGGGTGAGGTCCCAGTGCATCCTCCCAGCACAACCTGCTTTGGGGCTGACAGCAGATTGGCAGCCGGACTTCCCCGGAGAGTGTGTTCCCTGAGTGTGTGTGGAGCCTCCAGGGACCGCCTGGAGAGTGCAGGATGAGTTATCCTCCGTCACAACCACACACGATCCCCGATGACAATCCCTGACAAAATCCCTGACCTGATAGGTCCCCGACAACATGATTTCAAAATCCTTGTATTTAGGGTCTGGATACTTTCAGTTGCCCACATTCCTCTCAGAGCTCATTGCTTTCATTTTGGACCCTACAGGATGATACTGTTTTGGTCTCAGAGTTCTCTGCTTTCCTGGGCCTTGCAGGGTCTCTGGCAATAAATCAACTAAACAGGGTAACACTCTTCCCTCTTGTTTTCAAGACTCAGGCTTGGCCGAGGCTGACTTGAAGGTTGCATTTGGGGCAGGAGCCCAGGTGGGGTCTGAGGGTCCCAGGCTGTCACCAGCAGCTCTCGAGGGCACCAGATGTGGCTCCACCGGGGAGAGTTTTATTGGCCTGCCCTTCTCTGACTGTGCTCAGGGCTTCCTTAAATACAATTGGTTAGTCACGGTTTAATGTTCTTTACTGCAATGCTATTTTAAGATGCAATTAAAACATCTCATTGCCAAAGTGCATGGTTCCTACTGGGAGGTTTTTTCTTCCTAATATGAAGGAGTCAAAAACAAAGACTCAGGAGGAGACTTGTGCTCAGGACACATTTCTGAAATGGTGGCTTCGTTTTGGCTCCGTCTCCCTGGAGAGAGTGCCTGGGACAGCCCATCGTGGGGAGAAGCCCGATGGGGACCACGTGAAACTCGAAGTCATTTCCCATGTGGACAGCGGCTGGGCGGCAACTCCAGCCAGCGTTAGGAAAGTTAGAACCTCCCTTCCCTGCTGGCCTCTCAATTTGTGCCAATTCCAGCCTTAGCCATTCTTTGGTTATGAGGAGAGAGGAGTGGGAGACACGTGGGAAGAGGAGGGCTGAGCACATGCTCTGCAGGGACCAGGGCTCAGGACAGGCAGCAAGTGGGGCCTGCACTGGACATTTGTACAGATCAGCTCACTTTCTGTGATTAAAAGGCAGCTAAGAAAAACCAACTATTGCAGATGTGTCTTGGCCAGAGTCTCTGGGCCTGGCACACAGCTGGCCCTGCTCAACTCAAATCTTGTGACGGAGCTGTGCACATCAGGGCAGCCAGGCAGGGCACTCCCCAGGGACCCAGCGGCGTGAACACTATCTCCTACCCCTGTGACCTGGAGGGAGAAGCACAGTGGCCTGACATGCTCTCCTGCCCAAGCCTCACACCCTAGGAAAAAGGCACCCAATAGGGTGCTCTGGCTCCAAGAGTAGCCTAGCAGCATGAGGGGTGGCAAGAGGGGCTGTCTTGGGATTGGTGGGAGACCCAGAGAGAGACCCTGACACTTGAGGTCTGTGACTTAGCCGGCACTTAAGATGCCACCCTGCTTAAGGAGCTTCCACAGAGCCCTGGGGAGGGCACGGTGGTCCAGGAACGATGCCCTGTGGCTGCTGCATACCTGACACCTCCCCTAGCAGCCACCTTCCCCTGAGGTGGGTGGGCCTAGCCCTTCTTTCTCCATGGTTATACCCAAGACCACCTGGTGTGACCTAGCCCAGGCTGGGCACTGTGCAAAGAGGGTGCCCACATCTGATCCCATTGGACCCTTTCAGAGCTTCTGGAGGGAGGTGGGGGAGGCACATGGGCTTGGGCTCAGACAGAACAGGGCTGTGTCCTCACCAGCACAAGCCTCTCCACCTCCTGAGTGTCTGTCCTCCTCTGCAGACAGGCAGGGAAACCTGCCTCGAAGGGCTGCCCAGTTGGGATGGAGGGAGACAGTGTACCGCCAGCCAGTGAGTGGGCAGAGAGCATGGCCGCTGTACCGCCATCCAGAGCAGGACGGTGGGGGCAGGGGAGCCTCACACTGGGCACAGGGTCTGTGTAGCCAAACTAGGGGTGGGGGGCAGCCTGACTGCAGCAGAGATAGCAGAATGAAGAGGCTCCCATGAGGCAGACACACCGACCAGCCAATTAGCGTCTGGCGCAGCACACTGGGCTTGGGGCGGGAGGTCCACTATTCCCAGCTGCGTGGCTGCTCTGACACTGACGCAGGGCCCAGTGCTCCTAAGTGGGACTGGATCACGCACGGGCAGTGCACAGAATGCTAACGCGAAAAAGCGGCAGCTCTGACCTTGGCCAGTCACACGGCCCTCAACACCTCCCCTGGCTGTCCTGATGCCAGAGTCACAGTGAAAACAATGGCTCGAACCAAACAGACACGTGTCCTCCCTGGTTCACGAGAAGGAGCCTGCTGGTGTGGAGGAGATGGGGAAGCTCCTTGCCTCCTCTGGCTCTCTGTGCTCAAGCTCTTGGGCATTCAAGAGCCAGGAGATGATTCTGGGGGGTTTGACAGCATCTGAGCTCAAGGAGAGGGACCACTGCCTCAGGGTGCACAGCTGTGCTGGGCCACGCACCCCAGCTCTTTGCAAGGGCACGTAGGCCTTGAGAATAAACCAGGAGATTGAAGTTAGCACCAAGATGGTGTCTCACAATTGAGGACATGTGTACATGTGCTCAGTGTCACCCCAGAAACAACAGCCACACAGGCAGCCTTGGGCCTTGGCCTTTCCCTAAAGCACCACCAGCCACACCTGCAGAAGCAGACAGTTCTGCCCTGCCCAGACCAGAGCAGCCTCCCAAAATACAGGCCTAGATGACACTGGGTGGTGGCCCCCGTTCCAGCTCTGCCGGCACTCAAGGTTCCACCAAGGACGGCACATGAAGGCTGTCTGCCCTCTCGGACAGTGTTTCAGGGGGTTCAAGAGGCCACGAGACACTGCAGGAAGAGAGGAGCCAAAGCCACAGGGCAGGCCCTGGTCAGGTTCTGAGAGCTGTCTGTACCCAAGGCATCCTCCAGAACCGGAGAGCTACATAGACACCGTCACCTGAACCGGGGCTCTCCCCTGGACAAGGAGCCAGCGTTAAGGAAGGGGTGGCTGAGCTCCACCCAGACCACGCCCTGGGGGCTCTGGAGGATGCGCTGCGTGAGTATTCGCGCACTTCTCTGGCGTGAGTCGCTGACCAGCGTGTGGGCAGGAACACCGCTTCCCAGCCCCCAGCCCCCCTCAACAAGAGCCAAAGGGGAGGAAGCGCTTCATTCTCTGCAAAAAATACATCGACTGATGCAATTTGCGTGTGCAAGATGTGTGAAGTGCATTTTCCATTTCATCAGCACCCTCGGCCTGTATGAAGCTGCTATTTGCTTTCAGACCCATTTCACGGGGCTCGCATTATATTATGGGATTTTCTTCATGTCCTGCTGATAGCTCTGCATTTTCATTGACCACATTCATTTAAAAAAGAAATTTCAAAACATGTTCTGCAGTTGATTGGCTCCTTGGCCCCAAGAATGGAATACAAATAATCTCCTCACATCCGGCAGGTATCTTTCTGTGATTTAATTTCGGAAATGATTTTTTAAAGGACTCTGATGTTCCCATCTGTCCTGGGAAAGGGAAATCACTCCCCTTGTTCAGGGTATTTGAAGACCACGTATCTCGTCCAACTTAAGTCTGTCCTTTTCCACTTAGTAAGCACCAATTTAGGACACACCAAATGTGCTGGAACTGCAGGAGGATTCAGGGAGCAGCAAACCAGGCATCCAGTGGAAAGTGCCAGGAGGGCTGGGGACCAGGGCAGAAGGGCATGCAGCAGTGTGGGATAATCCCATAGCACTGTGGAGGATGTGGGGAGCACAGCGCATCAACCCACAGAGGGTAGGAGACCTTGAACTATCTTTTGTCCTATAGTGGCTGTAATGTGCAAAGGTCGGCTGGACAGTTCCCAGGTGGGCCTCTTCTAGCTGCTGTCGCCAACTCGCCTCCTGGAAGCGGGATGCAGGCTGCATGGGAAGACCTCTAGCTGCATACCCTAGGCACATCCATAACCTTTGGAACCTCATGCCCATCTGGGAGTGATGGGCAGCAGGGCCCATGTGGCATCACCTCTGTGTCCCCGGAACCCAGAACAGAGCAGGAACTTGATATGAGTTGTATAGACAAATGAATGAATCAGTCCATCCAGTGCCTAAGCCGGACGACGGAGCCAGCATGCCTGTTGAGGCTCTGCGCTTGCCAGACCCTGGGCCTGCTGGGCTTTCCCTCTCGCTCAGGGCTGTCTGCCTGCCACTGTGGGGCTGGTCCCACCAGGACTAACAGCTGGACCAGAGGCTAAGTGTCCAGGCCCAAGCACACTAGCTTTTCAGTCAACTGTGGGGCTCTTCCTGAAGCAGCTGCTCACAGTGTGCGTCTAGGACATGGTAGGCTGAGGCTGGGGCACCACCTGCCAGACGCTATACACGCAAACCCTTAGTCACCCTCATGTCCAGTCTGGCAGGTCGACTCGTGCCTGCTACAGTCCAGCAGGGGTCAGGGGTCAGGGATCAGGGCCTCTAAGGACTCACAGGCACTGATGAGGAAGTGGCCAATGCTGGGCCCATCAACATTGCTGTCAGCCCAGGTACCAGACACCACATGCCTCAGCCAACGGAGGT